CAAAAACTCTCCCCAACTTTTCCGCCATCTCTCATTCAGCATCAAAAGGTCAACCCCCATTTATGATTCACTCTTAATGATCATCTCCATTAGTTTTTTCAGGCAAATATTTTATTTTACGCACCATATTCACTGATCTGCAAACTTATTTAAGATAATCTCTCTAATTACTCATCAAAATCTTCCATTTGAAATGAACTCCAAACCAACAAAAATGCATAATGACTATTCCTTATAGTATTGAAGGAGATAATTAGGAAGATTTATTGCTTTCTTCTCTGCAGTCTCAGTTAACAGGTTTTAATCTAGAAAGAAGAGAGGAAAATTTTAGTTGGGGCATGATGTCTCCTTCAACATGACTGCTCTGAGGAAAATGCAATTAGAATGATTCCCCATGCCCTTTTTTACTAGCTGCTTATGATGCTAAATCTACTCCTGTGAGTGAATTGCAGAATGTGACCCCACTGCCCATGAATAGAAATATAAGGGGAGGGAAAAGCCTTAATCTCATACATGTCATTTGGTTCCAAGCAAAACTAGGGAGTTAGTACTTCTCCCTTGAAAAGAAGGTATTTAGAGGCAAAAAGTTTAGAAAATTTATTTTAAAATGTCTTGAAGTCTGTGCAAGTTCTTTTCCTTCTGTAAAATAAACAACAGAACTTTATTACGTCTGTGGGATTTCATCAATCAGGCAGGAAATCCTAGAGTGCTCATGAGTCTCACTGTAATTTCTACTCAGATTGGACCTGATTTGGGCTTTAGCAAGTATTTTACTGTCAGGAAAAAAACAAACAAGATCCATAGTTATTTACAATGAAATTCTTTGTTTAAGAAGCTTTTGAGAAACTGTGAGATATGATCAACAAGTGTAAAAGAAATCTTTATTTATTGACTCTCTTTTTAATATTTATTTAAAGTTTTTGGACCATGGAAACTTTATTTCTGCAGTGTCATATCTACCTTGTAACCAGCTGACTGGATTCATCAAGCACTACCCACAATTACTGATGCACTGAAAGTTTTATTAAGTAGTGATATTTCTGCCGAAAGGCAACATGATAAATGAATAGAAACTGGTTTGAATCTGCTTTAGGAAAGCTGAAGTCTTCTAAGTTGTTTTTATAAACTGTTTCTGTTGCCACACCAACGCACTTTTATGTGTTTTAGATCAGTTCTGGATCAAACTGTTTCATTTTAAAACCCTCAGAAACTAGAAACGAAACTCCTGTTTCCTTTGTGCACTAAGAATTTTTCCCCTGAAGCTTCATGTTCAATTGCTGAGCCAGAGAGCAGGATCATGTTTAAGTTGTATCTAATTTACTTTCCTTGTGTAACAGCAGGGGGAATCCAAGAGATAAGGAGAGTGATGGGCTTTCAAAGTTGTTCCTTGAAATAACATTTTTTTTAGTTTAGAATTTTTTATGTTTAATGTATTTAAAATGTATGAGAAGACAACTCAGCCTCACCCTGCAACCCTTATAACATCAGGCTGTTGTGAGGCAAGAAATTTTTTTGTTCAATACTGATTCTTCTAGGGGAAAAGGATCCTGATACTCTTTCTCCTGTCCCCGTTTGCATGCATGAATTGGCCTCCCCAACAGGACTGTACAGGAGAGAGCAGGAACATTGCGGAACTCAACATCTCAAGTGTAGTTGAATGCCATGTATTATTTTGAGAGGGACATGTTTCTTCATTGTAAACTGCTTCATCGGGGTCAGATTGATCATCTCCCAAATAGTCAGAACCCTTCACTGATGTTTTTTTGGTCTTATGGTAAATTTCATGGTTTGCAGTCTGCCACTCACAGAACAATAGGTGATACTAACTTTTCTTGAGTGAGTGTTCAATAAAGAGGATTGCAAAGACACTGCATACAGTGAGACACTGCAGCAGTTTGGAAAAAATATTCTGAAATAGATAGAAGTCATGGATTTATGTGTCTGTTCTTACTGCCATATTTAAATGCTAAAATAAAGTATACTTGCAGTGCAGTCAGTACAAATCTGTAGTTCCCACTGACTTCAAAGCAGCACACAGAAAAGCAGAATTTTGGAGTAAATGTGGTATATTTGCCTAAAGGCTCACAGATTTGCACACAGAGTCTAGGATGTTTATTGGAAATCAATGAAAGGACTAGAAGTAATTACAGCCTTAAAAAACTGAAAACTTCATGAGTCCCCTTTGCTACAAGCTCCCATGCACGTTGCCTGTACTGCCATGTCTTTAAAGAAATGTAGCTGGCAAGAAAATCCACTTGACTCTGCAGACAGTAACTATTGACTAAGTCAGCAGTTTTCCCAGGGGCTCATGGAAAATTCACTGCTTGGCTTCTCAGCCACCAGGGAGCTCAGGGTGTTGCTAGAAATAATTTGGAGTCACCAAAAAGCTTCTGTCAACAGCCAAAAACTTTTGGAGCCATTCTGGGTGATCCAGATGGATTACTGGCAGCCACACCATAGATAAAGGCTTCTGAGTCATCTCCATGCTGTAGCTGTGGTAGCTTTGGTCATCTCAGGGCCTGAATGTAGATGAGGCATGTTCTGTACTGTGCAATGCCAGCTTCTGAGGCTGTCACCAAGTGCTCCTTAGCTCTGCAAAACAGGCAGATTGGGGTGAGCAGCACCCATCAGTGTTCAGCTCACCATCTGCTGTCAAGCAGTGTAGGTGCTTTGGCTTCTTCCATGGTCTTATGGAAGTCTCTTAACAAACCTGTATCTGAGGTCCTCAGGTAAAAAAATGTAGTCCCTTCTTTGCAGAATATTTCTAAAGGTGAGACCCTCGTAAACTGAGAATTACTGCAACCTTGCTGAAAATCAGCACTTGAAAAATTGAGAACAGAAAAAAATCCAAAGTTAAAAGCTCTTTCAGTATTTTAAAAAAATTATATCTTAGCAAATGGCAAACCGTGTTTACCTTTCTGTGCTTTTCTGTTTATGCATCTGTACGTTGTTATTAATTCAGTAAGTGCATTTCAGATAAATCAACAGAGTTGAAAGTAACTTTGAGATGCAGCATGCTGCTGATCAAATTTGCCAGTCTGCAGCCTCCACTATTCCCTAGTGCTTCTCATAACCTTTATTTTTGATGGATGTCAGGTCTTATTGTTGGAAATAGAAAACATAAGTGGTGCTCATATAATTTCCATTCCCACTTAGAACTGCCTGTAGGCAGTGCCAGGTCAAGATCCCTGTGACTCTGGCAAGAACAGCGCTGTCTCTGAGCACCTCAGTAATGTTAATTTCTTATGTCTGGGTCTTGACACCAAAAGTAGTGGAGAGTGGTGCTTAATGAAGACACAGAAAGCCCTGCCTGTCGAAATATATGCAAAATGGAGGTAAACCACTGTAAAAATCCCTTGCAGATCTCAGTTCTTGCGGATGGTAAGGGTTTGTGGTATGTATAGTATTATTTCAGATAACAAGAGAAGTCATAAAAGACCAAGATCCGCATCCCTGTGCCTAATTATCTGCAGGTGGCCTGCTGGTGTACAACAAAGTGAGACATATTATCTTGTGGTAATGCAAGTGTACAGCATATCCTTAGTTCACTCCATATACTGTTTTTTGAAAATTTTGGGTGGTTGCTCTTCTTGTTTACAGCTGCACGGAAGTTATGAAACAATTCCTGGGAAGTATTCTCTCAGCTGAAACATTTTTTCCATCTTAACTATCTGCTTTTAATCAATAGGGCAGCAAGTAGACTTGCCCTATTTTCCATAAGAAAAGCTCACAACTCTTATAAGCAGAGAATCATGAATTTTGCAAAGGTTCCTATTTCAGATCTCTTGTATTTATAATTAAGCAATAATAATTAGGTTGTGTCTGGCTTTCATTATCCAGAAATTTCAGAGGGGAAAGCAGAAATTGAAATAATATGAACAGTTACCCATTTTCCTTCATTCTTACCTTTCCTCTAACATATCTCAAAAATTTGACCACTAACCTAAATTCCACCACTCCCAAAGCAGGTGAGCAATGATTCTGCAGCTGTATGAGAAGTTGTGGATAAGGAGTGTAGTAATTTGGCACCTCTGTGCAGAGCTGAAATCCTTGGCTTAGCCCCAGGAGTAGAGTCTTGCTTCTTGCTTCTTCAAAAACTGTTGGAGCAATTGATTTGATTTTCCTGAGAGCAAAAATGAATTAGACAGGCATAGCTGACTAAGATTTTCTCTGGAGCATTTTTGAGGCCTCACTGTATTCCTTTATTTAAAGTAGAGAGACAATGGAGTGATTGTAGAGACAATATTTGGTATTAAGTGTACCTTTAGATCTATGTGAATAAGCTGACTACCTCCTTTTTTTTGCCAGCAAGACTGGGATAAGGTCTGTGCTTGCCTATCTGAAAGGTTCTATTACCTCTTATAATAAATAAGCAGATTCCTCAGATTCTTGTTTTCTCCCATCCGTATTATCTGTCACGATTTTCTCAGATCCAGGCATATTCAACATTTCTGACCCAGCTTTGCTTGAAGCTGATACCCTCCAGCAATGTCTAGAAGCCCAAGTTCCTCTCAAATAAAGTTTTTATTCCTGTCCCTCCTCAGCTGCAAAGCAGAACATAGACTGGAGGTATTGGTGTTTGTTGGAGGTATTATTACTGTGTTTGTGAAGTACGTAGATGTCTATCATTTCTTGAAATTGAGAGGACACAGTAAAAAGATTGAAATTCATGGCAATTTATTAGGGCTACCAATGTGTTCTCTGTTCCTGTTAAACACCACTACTTTTAGTGAGTGTAATATTATCTTAGGACTGTGTTTCTAGAATCATCCTTTGCCTCCTCATGTGTCAGTGAAGAGATCAACCTGATGGATATCTAGAGAGAACACTCAGAAGGACGGACTGTTTTTAGTCATCTTCCTATTTGTCAACCATAATTAGAGGGTGGCTAGCTACATTTGGCCTAGTACCCTATGGAGATAAACAGTTTGGAAGGGTGAGAACAACGTGATATTTTAGTAAGATATTCTGTGGAATGACTGGCTCTGTGGCATCCAGAAGAAGCTGTGAATAACTTTTAATGGAAGAAAAGGAGCAATCCCGGAGGAGACAGCTGATGGAGAATAACATCTCAATCATGGAATACCAAAGCTGAAAAGAGAGGCTATAGTCAAACAACAACTATTTAAATTAGACATCATTATTTTGGAATTGTTGGACCACAAAATCTTGTTAAAATTTCTGCAGTTGTTTTTGAGTTACTGACTTGAGCAAGCTATGTGAGAGTAAAGATGGCTCCAGAAAAACTGGAAGTCAGATGTGGCATTCTGTTGTGGCAAGAAATTCATTTGGTCTGCCATTCATCAGCTGTATTTCCCCAAGTGAAGATGACCTCAGAAAGCAGGTTTTGCAAGTTAATTTAGCAGTACTTGTTTGGTTTTGCTTTTTTCTTTTCTTTTCTAGTTTTTTTCCTGCACATACAATGTGCAAGGACAAAAACAATGTGCTTGGAGAGGACAGCTTTGCCATGCAGGCCCAGTAAATGCAGTTCTCTCATGGAGCCCAGGCATTACTGCATGCGCAAAAGAACCTTAAGGGTGACCATTTGTGCAGTGACATTCAGCTTACTTTTACTCTAGAGAAACTAATGAGGAATGGAGATGGAAGCAAAGGATCTGTGCTGGTAGGAAGTTTCTGAGCTGAGGACTAGACATACAAGATGAGAGACAGGGAAATTTTCAGCTGGGAGGATGGTTTATCTGCATGCAAAGGGCCATGACGCCAGCTTTGATTGAATGAGCTAGGGAAGTATCTATAAAGATCTCACTGCTGTATGTTTATCCTAGGGCATTTCATAAACATGACCTGCTTCTATTTTTCCCAGCTGTCTATTGAAAGACAAGAATAATATAATACAAAATATACCTTTTTTTTTTTTAATTTTTAATTAGGGATCAATTCTGGCCTTTTTTTTTCTTTTTTTTTGCAAAGAACTCTTTGAGATGTGCACAAGCTCTGCTTTGTTGTGGAGTACAGGTGCTCTGGACTAGTCTTCTGTGGCAGCTGGGTTCACAACTTTCCCCATGAAGAGGATACTGTTGGTGATTTTGTCAAAAATCATCATCACAAAGGGTCTGTTGAATTTGATTTCAAGAGGACTAAATATTGCAGAGAAAACCTTCATTTCTACCATGGTCACTGCAGCAGCCTCTGTGCCATTCTCATTAATATTCAATTTGGCCTTGTGAATTGCCTGGAAAGGAAACAAAAATTAACAAAAAATAACAAAAACTATCAAGGCACAGAACAGTGAGAAGCAGCAGGTGACAAACAGGTTTGCTCTAACACTGAGAGACAGTAGTTTTCAAGATAGAGCACAAAATGAATAGAATTTGTGAGGAAAAATTCTCTTGTTCAGCCTTTTCAAGACAAGAAAAGTTTGCTCTGAGTTAAAAGGAAGATTTCTTTTTCACTCTGTCAGAGTCAAACATGGCTGCTTATAGAGATTGAGCTGCATGGAGAGCATTTATTGTTCAGTGGTTTCTTTGAGTAAGATCTTTTCCGTAATATTTAACACCAAGGAAGAATGTTTTCATTTTGCATCAATTTATGTATATACAATTTTATTTTTTTTTCTGTTGACACATTAGTGACAAACCAATTCTGAGGTGCTCAGCTAATACAGTAAGAAAGGCTCTATGGAATAAGAATGATCATTCCCAAATTCATAGAATCATAGAATCATAGAATCACCAAGGTTGGAAAAGACCTAAAAGATCACCCAGTCCAACCGTTCACCTATTCCAATAGCTCCTACTAAACCATGTCCCTCAACACAACATCCAGTCTTTCCTTGAACACCCCCAGGGTCGGTGACTCCACCACCTCCCTGGGCAGTCCATTCCAGTGCCTGACCACCCTTTCTGAAAAGTAATACTTCCTAATGTCCAGCCTGAATCTCCCCTGCCGTCGCTTGAAGCCATTCCCCCTGGTCCTATCACTGATGACACGAGAGAAGAGGCCGACCCCCAGCTCACTACAACCTCCCTTCAGGAAGTTATAGAGAGCAATGAGGTCTCCCCTGAGCCTCCTCTTCTCCAGGCTGAACATTCCCAGCTCCTTCAGCCTCTCCTCATATGGCCTGTGTTCCAGACGCCTCACCAGCTTTGTCGCCCTCCTTTGAACACGTTCCAGGGCCTCAATATCTTTCTTGCAGTGGATTGCTGTAATAACTTTGATTCCAGTATTAATTATTTACACAAGACTTTTGTGAAATTGTTCCCATTATCCTTTCCAGTTATTTTTTCATTGTCAGGAGTTTCAAAGTGAGACTGTGGGATAATTATGTAGGAAACAATTTCTTGCTAACTGAAATGAACATCAGCCATCTAACCCCTAAACTTCTTGTACTGCTGTCAGTGAGCCATTGTTGAAATCTAGAAATGGGATCAGCCTATTTTTTAAGATAATGTAATGAGGGCAGGCAAATTTCTTGATCACCAGCCCTGCTCACATACTTACCCTGGAAACTTTCAAGAGCGTATTTTTTGCAACTCCAGAGAAATCAGCATTGTTACTGAACATGTCCGTCACACCCATTTTCAAAAACAATCTCTTGACATCATAGGAGCCAGAGATGGACAATTTTGGAAGATACAGGTCGACACTTCTTTTTTTTTTTAAAAAAAAAAAAAAAAGAAAGAGAGTTTATAATTGCAAGATCCCTCAATACAAGAGCTGATACAAGTGATGTGAATCTATCCCAGCCATCTGTGAATCATAGTCCTGGCTTTCTAAAGCCTGAATATATACCATTTTAGTGAAGGAAAAATTGAGGTACCAGTCCTACCACCCACAAACTGATCAGTGGTCATCCAGACTGGAGAAGAAATTTCATTTTCTTTCAATTGGATCCTCCCTAGTCTGGATGTGCTCCCAAGGGCTGAGTTTGCAAGCACAGAATCCCCGCAGTTTGTAGCATTCCCACTGCTATTGCTGGAGAAGCTGAGGAGAAGGTTCCCCAGTGAACAAAATCTCCTGATACTTCCTTTGAGGTGAAGGAACTGTGCAGCTCTTGTTCCTCAGAGTTGTATTTATCAGCTTTTTGTGGCATCCTATGATTTACCTTGCCTGCATGAGTATTTATGGCCTTTTTAGTGCTTAAAAAAAATGGCAGTCAAAAGAAGTCAAAGGATTACCTTCCTTCAAGTGATTGGCTCCAATTAGACACTGTATCTTGTAGCAGAGCATCTTCTACCTGGTTCATACTCCCTTCATCAGGCAGAACAAAAAGGGCAGCAGCATTTCCTGTGTATGGTATTTCTACTATCCAGCAAGACAGCTTCTCATCCCTATGGATATTATAGTATGCATTTTTAAACATCATTTTAACCTTAACAGAATGCTCTGCATCCACAAAGAAGTCATCGTCTCTGGTGTCGTAATTTTCAAAAGGTTCTTCCCTTTTGACAAAAGAATGAGAATAGAGCTGAATAAGCTGAAAAAATGGCAAGTATGTGCATAACAAAACAGTTGATGCTCAGGATAGTATATTTGAATGGTAAATTCAATTACAAGCCTATCTCAGTTTAAGGATTCTTGTATCCTGGCAATAGAGAGGAGCTTTGAATCATTTCAATCATCTGAATAAAAATCACACAAGGAAAATACAGGTTGAGGAGAAGCTCTGAGCCTTCATCTGCTAAGTCAGTGGTGAAACTTCTATAGACTCACCTTATGCGTTCTCTGGACTTACTCCTTTATTATGTCTTATTCATGTTTTATTTTGACTGTATCCTGCACAGCCAAACAGCTATGCCTTTCAAAAAATGAGCATAAGCTCCCAAGCTCATCCTTTTTAAATACTTTCAGCTCTGAGCCTAATTTGAGATTATATACTATTGATTGGTACTTCTATTCTATTTTTTCTTTTTATTTTTTACTCATAAAAGATGATTCTTTATAACTGGCTTTCAAGTATTTCCTTATATCATTTAAAAGAAGAAAGATATTAATTGAAAATTAATTGAAAAGAAGAAAGATAAATTGGATGGTAGCGTAGATTCACCATGGGAAAAAACTTTGGTTCTTGAGTTTGGATCAGACTTCTAGAGCCTATTTTTATAACCTTAACCAATGTTTTTAACTCACCTTTAAAGTAAACGTAGTTAGTCAGAATCATCATAACATCTTCATCAAGACTGTCCAGTAAGTCTACAAATTTACCATGGGTCTTTGCTTTTATATAGTTATTGATTTCCTCTCTGGCATGTTCAGAATTTTGGAAATCCATAGAAACAGCTTCCGAATAATAAAAATTTGTGACATCATCCAAAAATTTTTTTTGCAGTTTCAGTCTCTCATCTATGAACAGAGTATTGCCCATATTCAATTGAATCTCTCTGCGAGGGTCATTCAGCAGCTGGAGGAGATGCTGGAAGCCCTCATGGATCTCCTGCTCTTCCATCTCTGTCAGGTTGAAGGTGAGGCATTTGTGCAGCTGGTTGAGTGTGTTTGATCTGGCCCCCAGTGAGAGCATTGCAAAGGCAGTAGAAAGGCTCAAGGGAGAGAAGAAAATGTTCTTGTTACCTCCCTCTTCTGTGACCTGCTTATAAAACCTAAATGCAAATTCAGCGTTGCTGGGGGCTATCTTCACGTGAGCTGAGTTTTCACGTTCCACTTGAGAATGATCTCCTAGGGAATGAGGTTTCTCTTTCTTATGTTTATGTTTGTTGCCCTGGTTGGGTTTAGGAAGAGCTTGGACTTGAAGTCCAACGAGAAGCAAACACAAATACAGTGTAGACTTCATTTTCCTTCTGAAGAATTCTGTTGAGAAAGGAAAAATTATCTTGTAGAAAATGTTATCTTTCCTGCATAAAAACAATTTATTTTGTGTTTGAAATACTGACTTTCATATGCCAGTGTTTAGAATTTCTTTCCATTGGGTCTCATGGCTAAGTCCATTTCTGGTCTGTTCTATTTATTTCCAACCAAGATACTAACATGACACCACTAGGGAGGAATTGATTCTTTGTAGGTTTCTGTGAGGTATCTGATCTGGAATTGTCCTTGTGTCTGACCAGTATGGCATTATTGCATTTCTAAAGGTATTTGTGTGCACAACTGAATTCACATATTGTTCCTATACATTCAGTAAGCACTTTGGCAGTGTGTAGAAGCCATGATCTTGTGATGACTTGGGTTTTCATGCACTGCAATAATACAGAGAAAACATCACTTATAGTAGAAGAGAATTCATCTGATGCTTCACCATTTAAACTGTCATTCTGCCTCTGGTGCGGCAGCTCTGAACTCAAGAACTGTGTCATTTCAAATATTATCTTACATGTCTCAGTAAAAGGAGAATAAAGCAAGAAACTTTATTATGTCTCTTCATTGCACTCAAAATATTCATAAGGCTGCAAAATCGAACACCCAAGAGTTTAGGAAAAGCTAGAGCAGAAGCTTCCTGAATAGCTCAAATGCAGCCTTGCTGTGTATGTATTTGGGTAATTGGATGACCTTTCCTCTTCCTTAAACTAATACAAACAAATTATATATAACTCTGCAGTTTCTCTTCTCTTTTTAGGAGATATTGGGAAGTATGTTCTCCATAGAACATCTCATATAAGTTATCTCAATCACAAATCTTGAAAACAAGGAGTTAGCGTACTGAAGGAAAACAGAGGTGATGATACTGTTCAGAGCAACTGCATAATACAGTGTGTGAATCTGCTCCATGATTTGCCTTGGGTTGTGTCTGAAGCCAGGTTTGGGTCCTATATCAAACATTTCATGGGCAGTTATTAAATCTGGGTTTCCTCTTATGTGGCTGCCCTTTATGAAACACTTGAGATCTAAGATGTGTAAATGCTGAGTGTGGGAATTGTGCTCAGTTTGTCTAAAATGACAGATTAAACTATAGTTTAAATAATAAAAAAAAAAAGTAAAACCTAAATGAAACTAATCCACTTTGATCCTGTAAATACTCTTTATATAACTCTAGAAATCTGTGTCTGAGACAGACTAGCATCAACCCCAATGCCACTTAACTCTCTGTAGTGTTTGAGGATGCTTGTGGTATCGGTTATGTTACTCTCAGCTCCTGAACTAGTCCTGCATCAGCCTAGAGTATCTAGGACATTGAGTTGCAAGTGAATTTACTCCTCTGGAAGTAGGAGTAGTGCAGGCAGGGTTTGGTGTTTCACCTTGGTGTTAATGGCAGCTAATATTCACTTTGGACCTCATCTCCCTGTCATTCTGACATAGTATCCAAGAGCTGCATCACTGACTGCTTTCAGTGTATAGATCATGCTTCTAGAAGATAAATTTCCAACTACTTATACTAAATAAAATCATCTCATAATTAAATACCATGTATTAAATTGCAGAGATCATAGAAAATATGAATTCAAATTCTTCTAAGGAAGCATAATATAGTACTTACAGTGTAGTTTAAAAAGAGTCTGCTGGACCTCTCATTCACAGTGCTACTTCCCTATTCTCCGTCTTGCTCAGTAATATTAAGTTAATGTTCACTGGTAAATATTAATCAAAGCAAATAATATTTATTTGTTAAGCAAAGAAATTGTTAAGCAAACTTTTTTCCTAGACATCAAACATTGTAACCCTGTTTTTCAACATATAAATGAAATGATGCCAACATCTGTGGCTCAGAGTGTAAAGAGCAAGGTTCATACTACTCTTGCATTTAAACAAATCTGTGGGCAAAAGAACTTTGCAAGATAGTGTAGCATAGCACACTACCTTGGGCTTTTGAAATCCACACAGTAGTTGAACTGGAAATCTAAGATAGGTCCTGAGTGATGTCTGGTTGTAAATAGATTAGTTTGTTCTACTGACTCTCTGAATGAGATATCCTGACAGAAGGATGTCATCTAATCAGCTACATGAAGCAGCAACAAGCTTGGTCAGGAACAGCTCAGTACCTCCACACTGCTCTGCATGTCGCAGGGGACATTGTAAATATACTCTAACTACGTAAGTTGCTCCAAAACTAATGCCTTTTATTTCTTTCCATGGGAAAAAAATGAGTACAAATTGCTCAATAACACTGTTTGACAGAGCACATTCTCAGATACAAAATGTTATTTTTTGCAATAGTCACCACCATGAACTGATTTGTGTGAGTGAGCTGATTGAGATGCTGTCCATTCCATGGTGTGACAGTTGCGCATGTATGCCTGAAATGTGTCTTATCTTTCACACAGCTATCACCACTGCTGAAATGCACCACTCTCTGCCTCGCTGTGCTCACGTCTCCAGAAACATTCAGCAAGTGTTGATGAATGTCAGTAGGTGTACTTTTTCTAGCTGGAGGAATTCAGTGACATACCTTTGCTTTATATGAACTTCCATGTAAGATGCCATTGTGCCAGCTTGCCTCTCTACTGCAATCTGTCACATGGCAACAACATGCAATGGAATGTTATTGAGAACATATATTTAGAACATGTATTACTTCTAGCACCATGGGCTAACATAATAAAATAGGAGGCATTACTTTCAGAGCAGCCCTCGCGTTCTTCAAAGTCATCACTAAATTGTTACTGAACTGCTTGTCACGAGAAGTAGTGGTTAGTTTTTTGAGAGGTTGTTGATGAGTATTTTGGACATTATTGAAATAGTGAATGAGAAGCAAAATAACAACATGGCTTGAAAAGTTATCAAAATAAGAAAATGGAGTTTCAGTTTCTCCATGATGGCAGTAAGGTAGCTGTGCTCAGTCCTTTGCTAAGTTTGTATCACAACTAGATACCTTGGAAAACATGATTCTCTCCTGTCAAATGTAATAGAAAATAAGAGGGAATCACCCCACATGGATACCTATTAGATTGCAGCACTTATGCTATCCCAGGGAAAATAAAGCTTTTTTTCTTTTTTTCTTTTTTTTTTCTGAGCACTGTTGCAAATGGCTGCACTGAAAACCCTCTACCTAGAATGGATGTCACCAAGAAACAAGAGACTAAGCTGGGAATCCTGCGTGGAGTTTTACAGGAAAGAGATGGGCAAAGTCCCTAGTGCTCCTAGGTAAGCAGTGGCTGGGATGGAGGAACTTCTCCTGCTCCAGGAGCCAGGGAAGTCTTACGAAGGACTGAAAAAAGTGCTTTCCAAATGGTCTGATAATGGTCTATGTGCAAGGAACTAAGGAATAATTTATCTCTTTTCATGCTGTTTGCCAGTAACTGCTGAGTTACACGATGCATTTGGTTCCTCCTTACAAAAGCAGTTTTATGATCAATCATTAAGCTAGTCCACTCCTTGCTTGGTCTTCATATTATGGTGCACCAGTGTCATACTTCTAAGTTTTTCAAGATAGAAGATTTTTGTGTGTGGAAGAAAAACACAAGAAAGATGATAAGGAAGAGCAAGAGAAATGTGAACTTCATGAGATAATTCTTCATGTAGGCATTTCTTTTGTCTTATAAAAATATACCACTTAAGATCTGGCTGCAAAAGCTCATAACCCCGTTGACATATATATCTCAATTAAAATCAAGAGATTGGCATCATTGCAAAATTGCTGCAGTTAGAATAAAAATCAGTTCATCTATGTATTTTTATTTATTTCTATGAAGGGCACTATAACTATAAACTCTGTATGTCTTACAAATATTCAGACTTATTGGGTAAGGAAAATGTTGCTGTCTTCAATTGCAAAACAACGTGACTGACAGAAGGAAAAAGAAAGCTGAAGGCCAAGGAGAAAGTTAGTGACAGAACTGAGAATAGAAAGAAGGGCTCTGCTGCTTTGTGCACTCCCGCTTTTACTAAGTCAGTAGGAATCTCAGAACTAAAATTTCACATGAACTCATAGTTTGCTAGACATAAGTCACACAAAGAAGATCAAATAACACCATTATTTTCTTCTGTGTAGAATCCTAGAAGGAAATAAGGTTATTTTATTACCAGAGCGTGATTCTATTTCACATAACAAAAATTTCACTTCAGGTGATCGTACCTCCATCCCTGCAAAATGCCAGACTGGATGTGGCCCTGACTAGCCTGGTCTAGTGGGTAATGATCCTGCCATGGGTTGAAACTAGATGATTTTTGAGGTCCTTTTCACTGCTTTTGAAGCGTTTTGAAAATATCCTTGCATTTAATGTGGCAGCAGGCTCAAAGCACTGGTCAGAAGAAAGCACCAAGATACATCTATAGCAAATGCATGGTAGTTTTACAGTTTTTGGCTTGCATTTGTTTCAGAGAGCTTTTCTGAACTGATTGTTTGTTCCAAAGATGGAAAAACAGTCCCTGGCCACCTCATTTTTGGCAAGTAGCTGGTGAAGGCCTTTCAGTTTGGCCAGAGACTAAGTAGCATTCAGAGAAATATCACATGCTGGGCAGGAGCTTATAGGGCTTAATAACAGAGGAGAGTACACATTCCTGTTTGTCATCTGGCTTCATTATATCAGGTAATTCTGGAGCACAGGCCTGACTATCAAATTACAACCACTCATTTTCTTGCATATTTGACACAGTTCCTGATGCAGGTATTGTTCATGGTAGCTGCGATCTTTCCAGACATATCATGGGCATTTTGAGGAGATTTAATGTAAACCAAATGTTATTTCCAGTAAACAGCCCTTGTGTCTTATAGGGTCAGAGTTAAGCAACATGGAAATGGGCTGTGTTGAGGCAATCAAACGCAGGACTAGAGTAGGTATCTTGGAGCATTTTATTTACAAACATAGGTAAAAACTCTGGGATAGTAATAAATCTCAGTGTCCATTTTATTTCTTCCAGATATTCATAACCTTTCTTTTCTGAACTATTAATTCTTGATGAACCAGAGGTTTAAAGCTATATGGCATGACAAGTAATATTTTTTGAGTGTATGTTTTACTCACTGCTTCCATTAGATGCTTGTCAAGTGTTCACTGCCTTAAAGGTAAACTTGAAGAACGCAACACAAGGCTGGCAGCTCTGGGCATTCATACCACAGGCTATGAATGCTCTAACAGAGAACATGGCAAAAAACTTGTCCTTCCAGTGTCTGGAAGAAAATGATCACTATCCTCCCACCCTGTAATTTGAAGTTATGTCTCCTTTTTCCTAGAAGCCCATATCAATATTTCAGATTATCATTGCTTCATCCACCATCCATTCAACAGCGCTCTTTGTAGTGTTCATCAGGATTTATTTGGCAAATTCAACATTAAGCCATCCTCTGCTCAGGGAGGAGCAGACATGGATTTCTATCCTCCAGGAAAATATCCTTAACAGCACTCCAGATCTAATGCTAACTCTTCTCTTGCAGTTTCAGCTTAATTAGAATGTTGGAGACATAGGATTTTCTGTCTTCATGCAAGGGAGGATTGCAAACATGAATATTCTTGAATATCCTGTAACTAAGTCAAATGCTCTGATTACGAAGATCGGTGTGATGAGTAGCAGTTGCCTTACAAAGGTCAGGTTCCATAGAGGAACTTGTTCTAATTTCAAATTGCCTTCATGATCAGTAGAGTAAAACTTTAAGACAATGAGGAACAATACACTGAGAAAGATAACTGTATTTAACATTTCTCAAATAGTTGCTGTTGCTGAATCCAAAGGGTGGAACAGAGATGGAGTCAGGCTGATATCACAAAAGTCTGGCTGTGTTTGTTAGTAGGTGTTTCTTTTCTTGGTGCTCCAGCCCCTCACAAGTGCCAAGATTTGACTCTGAATTTTGACACTACCTTGGATCCATCGGGGTGCATAAGGAGATGGCAGATTTGTACAGACATCCTCAGAGTGCCAAGCAATCGTTTTCTCATGCAAATACATGACCTTTTCCCATCAATAAGATCTACGTGGAAGAGAAAACCTAAGATATCCCTAGGTGGACTGCATTTATATTCTAAATTTCCACATCACCTCTCCAGGACCAGGACCTGGTAAGTACTACAGACAGCTGGAGAAAACAACAGGATTTTCCTAGTTTCCTATTCACTACTCAGTAACAGCCTGCTTTTTCATTCATTACATACTGAATAGGTTTTAAACTGCTTCTCTCAGCTGGATACTTACCTTATTTTTCAATGATAGCATGTATTAGTCATTAGAAGGCTGATGTATACACTGCTTCATAAGTCATGGTAGTTGTTTTCTACTGGAGAGAGCAAGGATGGTGATTTTAAGAATGACTACATTCCTGCCTTAATTATTTTTAGAAAAAATAAAATTATTACTAAAAGATTTGATATAATTTTAATTACATCAGACTATTAATGATACATGCAAATCAAATCAATAAGACTTGCCATTGATCAATCATTTTCCAGTGGGTTTACAATTTTTCCTATGAAGAGGATACTTTGAGTGTATTGATCAACAATCAACAGCAAAAATGGACGGTTGAACTTTATAACAGGAGGAACAGAATGAGGAGCAAACTCTGTGCCAGTGACTGCTGCAGCCTCTGTGCCATTCTCGTGAATGTTCAGCAGAGCCTTGTGAATAGCCTACAAGGAAACACAGCAAGCATTACTGTACACACAGTATGGGAGTGGAATGACTAAAACTGGCACAAAGTTAATTCACCTCCTGTCTTTCAAAGAAATGACTGGTAGGTCACAAACTAAGAAGAAGGAAATTTAGTCCATGGTAGGTGTTCTAGCAAAGTTGTCTCCATGAGTTTGTTCCACTCAGTATTTCTTACCATGTGTGTCAGGGCAGAACACTTGAACTCAGAGCAGGGATTATTATTTCAGGAGGAAAAAAAGTAAAATTTCAGAGCTGTTCTGTCTGTATATTTAATGCCTCATGGATTAAACTTTTGTCAGTAGAAAATAAATCACCATACAAAAATTTATTTTTGCATTTTCAACATTTGTTTCATTAAACCAAGATACTATAATGTTATAGTTACTGCTTTTGCACTGCCCATAAGAGTGTTAATTTATCTTTGTATTATCTGTTCTTCCCAGGAAACAGGATGCTTTCCTGTAGCTTGGTCCCTCTTATATGATTAGCACTTGCCAGTGCCTTCCATGGAAATAGTTTGAAAGTCCTTTAAAATTATAGAATCACATGCATGTATTAAAGAAAAGGTGCCACTTTTCATACTAGACATGCTCATGCAATGCAACTCCAAAAGATGGTGTCTCCTCTTGCATGCTGAAAATATTTTGTTCCTGGAAAAATTTATATAAGCCTCCCAGCCTTTGCCACAACTTCAGGGTGCCGGAAGGAAGGCAGTATTTTTATTTTCAGATCCTGAATAAGTCTGAAAGAATTTAAAGTTGCTCTAAAAGTTGAAATGTTTAAATTCACTCTTATCAATCATTCTCAGGACTAAGAATTATTCTGGTACATAGCTTAAATTAAGGCAGTTGATGAATTGACAGACTTTTCTGTTGACCAACTTACTCTTGAAACCTTCAGATCAGACTTTCCTGTGATTCCAGACAGATTAGCCTGGTCAGAAAACACATCTATTACACCCAGATTCATGAATATCTTCTTTAAGTCATAGGTGCCAGAAATGGATACTTTTGGAATATGCACTTCCATCCTCCTATTAATTTAAAAGAGATTTATGGTGGTTATTACGATCAAGGTACAACTTGAAGTCTCCCAACTTGCTGGTAATTCTGTGCTAAAATGTTAGTCTTCAAATATAGAAAAAATGAGAGCAAAAAGGTGGGAAGACAATGGTCAGGATGATGGGAAAATGTAATATGAGAAACACATAGATCTTGTTTCCAGTCTTACAATCACCCCTTGAATAGACAACAAGCAGTGGTAGTGCTAGCACCCTTGTGGGTACATTTGCATTCATTTGCTAGTCCTCAAGATTTATTTATTTTTCTTAAATCATACCCCGTTCTCTCTACGGGATCAAGTTTCTATGTCACAGTAGTACCACTGTTAACATATTATATTTGAGAAAAAAAATGAAGATACTGAAGATCAACTAAAAAGTGTACAGAAAGAGAATCTGCTTCCCAGCTCACAAATTTTTTTCCCTCATGACAAAGCAGTGCTACTTCAAATTGCTGCTGAATGTCAAATCAAATTGTTTAGTCTGTTCATTTATGCCAGTTCCATTACTTAAACCTCGAATGAAAAACAAAATCTTATAACTCTAAAAATTGACTACAGTGTTTAGACCTCAGGTTCTGACTACTGCAAAGCATCGAATTAGAATTTACCGTCTTTCAAGTGATTTTTCCCATTTAGACAGCGTGTCTTTCATCAGACCATCTTCCAGCCATTTCATTTTTCCTTCATTGGGCAGAATGAACAATGCTGAAACATTTCCCTTGTAAGGAATCCTCACCACCTTGCATGACAGCTTCTTGTCAGAATATATGTCATAAAAGCTATCTCGAACCATCATCTTCACTTCAACCAAGGTCATTGCATTCACATAGAAATAATCCGTGTGAGTCCCCTTCATATTGAAAGGATTTTCCCAGTAGGCTTAAAAGTAAAAGAAAAAGAACACAGTTGCATGCTTATTTTAAGGAGGATATATAAGTATAATCTAGTCTAATTTACACCAAATACATCCATATCTAAAGATTTATGCTCATAACTGAAGATTAGAGGAATTCAAAATTTATTCAAGGTCCATATCATCATTGCTCTAATATGTTCAACTAACAAATATCCAAGATTAAACTTCAGAAAGGTGTTGCAAGTCAGATAAATCAAATGAGATAACTTCATGATGTTATCTTAAATTTATTTGAAGAAGAGGAAAAATCTGAAGAAAATGAAGTGCCTAGCCAGGATCCAGTGAGTTAATTTGCAACCACTTTGCTTGTTAAGCAAATTCCACAGCATATGACTGCCTTTTTAAAAGTGGCATGTTAAGTTCCTTCTATTCTTTCTCATCTGTTCCTCATCTGGTAGCACTAAGGAAAAAATTCAATGAAAGAACAACCTGAATTTTTGGGTTTGATAATAGCTTCATTACAGTAAGTGGAACGGAGCTTCTAAACCTTTAACCTTCCATCCTTATTCAAGTGACTTTTTAATGGTATTCTACTTGTATTAAGTCATTTGCTGAACAAATACAAACAGATGATAGTTTGTCATTTCAGAACTAAGTGCGCTTGTTTTTTAAATATTGAACAGAAACAAAATAAAATTGAAAAATAAGTAGTAGAATATAAACACTGAAGTACTTTAACTACTTTATAAGTTCAAACTCTTTCCTGTCCCACCATAAGGAATGTACCTTCTGACTACGGTACCTAGATTTAATAGAGTACCTTCCACCTATTACCAACTTCCTGGGCGGATAATTCAATGTACGTCCTGCACACTGCTACAAATGGACATTACCTTTACGAAGTTCATCGTTGCTAAAGCAGCACATTCTGAAGTACCTGCTGGTGTATATATGCAATGTGATGACTGGCTGTGGAATGCTTAGAGCCCAACTCCATAGATATGTACCCATTTAAGAAGCCTGGATTGTAGGTAAATTAAAGTTTTGTCATTTTTTATAATCTTTGGAATTTATTTCATTTCTTCATATAGGATATATACATACAGCAGAATAATTTTTGCTATAAAACAAAAGTCTGATAGAAAAATCCACAAATGCATGAATTTGCTGTGCTCTGGAAAGTCCATAAAACCTGAAGTTTGCAAATAAGTGAATTTGTGTGCTTATAAACCTAAAAATTTGCCAGAAAACTATAGATGTATTAAGAGGTTTCAAAGCATGAGAACTTGCAATGTTTCTTATGGTTTTAACACTGTCCTTCTTTTAAAAACAATTGAGAAATAGTCTGGGATTTTTTTCCAGTCCAAGGCAAACTTGAATATTGCAGTAAGATTTGTATGACTCAACTTACCTTTGAAATAAATATAGTTAACAAGTACCATTAAAGAGTTTGGATTGAGGTCTTTCAGTATTTGATTTATCTTCCCATGGGTTTTGTTTTTTATATGATCATTGATCTCTTTTTTAGCCTCAGTAGAACTCTGAATGTTACTAGAAATAATTTCTGCTTTGTACAGTTTTTTTATGTCCTTCAGAAATGCTGTCAGTGGCTTCAGGTGCTTGTCCATAAACAAGGTATTTCCCATGCTCAGCTCCACCTGGCTGCCAGGACGGTTCAGCAAGAGAAGGAGATGATGAAAGCCATGGTGTATCTCCTCCTCCCTGTTGTTGGTGAGATTAAAGGCCAGCCCCTCCAGCAGCTGAGCCCGGGTTGCGGCTCTGGAGCCGAGGGCCAGCAGGGCAAAGGCAGCAGAGACACTGACTGGGGAGAAGAAAATATTCTTGCCAGGTGCTTGGACAGTTGCTTGCCTGTAAAACCTGAAGGCAAAGTCTGTGTTGCTGGGTATTATATGCTGGCAGAAAGCAAGAGAATCTTCCTCATGAGGATGCTGCTCATGGAGGTGAGTTACCTTGGGCTCTTCATCGTGATGGTCAGTCTGTCTCATGCTGGGGACTGCAGGGTAAAGGATGGCCAACAGCAAGTATAGCAGGAGGATGGCCTTCATCATACTTTTCAACTACTGTGTGAACAAAAATAAATTGTGTTGGACTCTGGAGAATGGCATGTGAACATCTCATCTTTTATTTATATCTGCTGCTGCCTACAGAAGTTACTAACACTGTTAATCTCCTGGCCTGCTCCTTTATTATGACATAGTTTTGAAACACTCCTGCTTTGATCTCAGATGTAATTCATATCAATTACTGCCCGCTTCAGTTCTGCTTTCCTCCAGCTACACAAGTCTCTTGTTACTGGGTGCTTGTCAAGAGAGTAGCATGTGATTATTAAAGGAAAACATGATTCAGAGGGAGAGAGTAAATTAAAAGGTTTATTGCTTTTTTTTCATCTCACTGTAGATCCATTTTATGATGTGGTGACACATCAGAAACAACTCTGACGTCTTGTGTGTTTACCTCTAAGAGCTCTCATATGAGATATGATATTTGTGATTGTAAGAGGTTTACGTCAAATGACAGAGCTATGTCAGTGGAAAACAATAAAGATTTACAATAGTCAAAACATCATCTTTCTCATTTCTGATTCATTTTGACACACAAAGTGAGTAATCACAAGCGCACTAAGAACATTTTCCTGCTTTAACATCTGATTAGATCAGAATACATTGCTTTATTTTAAACCATCACTCAACTAATGCATGTCTTCCAGATGGGTTCCTCTATTTTTCCAACCCCACAACACTGATAGATGGTGAGGCCACCAGAGTAGGCATGGCCTATCCTGTCTGTCTAAAATTTGTATGACTAGGGAACCCTCCTCTCAGCAAACCTAAGTTTATATATCCTAGTTATTATTTACACCACACTGGTGTAAATAAAACACCTCATTTACCTCGGAGCTTTAGCTATCACATCAGAAACTTTAGAGAACCTCAGTAATGAAATCAAAACAGAATGACTGTTGGAAAGTCAGAATATTTTTCCTCTCCTTAAGTAAGATGATTTCTTCTAGATTTGAAAGAGGTGTTTTGGATATATATTCATAGCAGAGTTTTTCTTGTAGACCTGCTGTAATGTATCTCCACGATTTGCTATTCAGTATCTCTTGGAAATTAAATTCTGCTGTCATTTGAGTGCTTAGAAACCAAGTTTCACCTTTGAAAGTAGATGAGCTTCATGACTCACTAGCTAAATGTCATACAGCTGCATCAAAGTCTTTAAAGTAAAGATATCTGGGTACTTACATTGCATTCAGAAGCTCCTGCACTTGCATGGATTGTGCTCGTTCTTGTTGCTTTACTCACGCTGCTGTTTTCCTCTGTTAAACATTACATGGGTTCAAATACAGATAATCTAAAAGGATAAAGCTAACTGCTGATGAAGCTAATTTTCTTGGCTGCCATATTCATGTGAACACATCTCTACTCCAATCAGAGCTAAGACCATGGGACAAAGCCAGTCAATTGAGAGGAGTGTTATGCTCCACAAGGGTCATAAAGCAATGCCTAAGCAAGTATTAATTGGAAATGAGATTTTGTGCCAAATACAGCTACTTTGCTTTATATATTACCTGAAATAGAAACTACCTTTGGATTGTAGAGTTCTACCCAGCACTAAGCTCTGACAGCCAGGTTCACTGTAAGAGAGCTATGGGGAACACCTCTCCTTCTCAGTGATGCTACTTGCCCTACCATATACTTGACATTTGTGAGAGCAACATATACACCCAGTTCCTTTATATAGATACTTTCCTTGTTTCCCAAAGTTAGCATATTTTTGCTGAAGCACAAAAAAGATTTGTTCCTAACCCTGATAGTATTGGAATTAATATGCTATATCCTATATAAGTATCAGGTAGCTACAGGGAAGCTATGGAGGAGGTTTTAGGTTTAAGAACATACCTAGAGTATATACTGAAAGCATGCGTGGTTGCAGTCAGATTTTTCCAAAAGAGTGGTAAGGGGTTGGAGATTCATGATCTGTGAGATCCCTTCCAACCTGAGCCATGCTGTGATTCTGTGAACAGGACTAAAAGGTCTGAAAGCTCCGTCCCTTAATTCAGCAGTCTCTCAGCAGGGAAAGAGGTCGTACAGAAGATACACCGTGCTCAGCCTGGCAAAATCTTCCCTACATTTCTTTTCTCCAAAATGTTTGCCTTATCTCTGTTATCCTGTTTGGCAGAGCCTTCATTCTTATTTATATTGCAGATAGATTTTGAGACCTGTAAGTCAGGAGTCTTCAATATAATAATTATTTGAAGGTAAATATATTCATTTCCAAAACTTGCTATGGAAATTACAGATTACCAATGGATTTGTCAAATTATCCAGATGGAAGATCTATGATTCTTATTGTGTCCTGACAGAACTAGCATTCATGCATCAGTCAACCATTGTACAAGGGGGTTCAGTTCCTGATTGCCCTGCATTTCATACTTCACAGTTTTTAAGTACTCAAGATTTACTTTAGTTTTCTCATAATAGTTACCTATCTGAAAAGCACTCCCAAACAGAGGACAGTGAGAAAATAAATTCTATTATAAAGAGATGAGCCATCTTTCATAGAATTTTCGACATTGCAAAACTTCAAAGATAATACTTCAGCTCTAAGATCTCAGTAAAGAAAGGATACAATCTCATCTTGTTCATTAAGCCCCCAAAACTTTCATGACCATGTACAGCATGTGGGGATTGAGAGAAAAACAGCAAAATTTATGTAGCAGAGCTCCCCTGAATGTAGTGCCTCCTCTATTGTTATGTTGGCCACAGTGTTGGAGATGGGTGTTGTAGAGGCTGAAGTCCGTTACACTGGAATGACAGGAAATAAAGTCTCTAAATCTATGCTTAGGATCCAAAACAAAAATATTTTCATCTTTACTTCATACTTTGACTTGGCAGACACTTGAAAGAAATGCTATGTTGCTTGATATCTGAGGGCCAAGTCACGTTTTTAACTAGGAGACCTGCTGTGGGTTAAGGAGTGTAATTTTAAAAATTCAGCTTTGGAAACTATAGTCACACTGGTGGGAAGTTTGTCTAAATAAAATTCTTATTAATCCCTGGTATCTGTAATTTAACCTTCTGTTTGAATACCAATGATTGGCTTAAAAGAAACTTTTTTACAACAGCAGCCTAAAATCATACATAGGCATATAAGCATAAGTTCAAGTTCTGAATGCACTAAAATGTGGTCACTTGCTTCATTTTTCTCTTCAGCACATTTACTGAAGAAACACATTTTTTCTGTCAGCTCTAATATAAACACAGATCACAAATTGTTCTTATCAGATGTATCACGTTTATACATCTTGAAAAGAAAACCATGTTGATTTCTGTAACTGATATTAAGGAGAACTCAAGTCTCCTGTTTTCATTTAGCTTCAGTTGTAAGAACTGTCAAGTTTCTGCAAACAGTTACACAGTGGCTCTTTAGGAAGTCGTGCCTCACAAAGTAATGAGGTTTAATTGGTCCTATCTAATTTGACAGTTTGCTGCTGGCATACTATCTGCTAGTGCAGCTGGTTAATGATACACATGTTGGTATGAAATAATGATCACTCCTTGACAGTTTGTTTTTCAATTATTACTTGACTGAATCTTGCATTTTCAAGTTGTCTTCCCACATAAACTTTGCCTACTCCGACTCTCACATTTAAAAACAGGCCTGGGTTAATAAGGTTAAGATGTTCTTCATTTTACATTTTGATAAGGGCTATTTTAAAGCCAAACATTGGCTATGCCTATATATAAAAAAAAAATTCTAGTTGTCTGGCTATGTGAAGTTTCAGTCATCCAAGGAATCACAATCTCTATTGTGAAGCTCATAATAACTCAAACAAATATCACTGTGCCACAGTACCAAAACCCTGAGCCCAGCACAGGGCTAGGCTTCTCAAGGCAAAATTAGATCCATGCAGAAAGAGTCACAGATTTAAGACCACAGTAACTTCCCTTATACCTCAGAAATTAGACTTTGTTGTTGTTCACATGTTGATGCTTATGGCGGAAGCATCAAAAGTGAAATTTTCAAAATTGAAATTCTAGGCCAGGTTTTCTCTATTTCTGGATATGGGCAGTTTAACCTGCAGTCATAGCCAGTGAAGACCTCTATAAAGGGAGAAGTATTCAGCAGTCCTCACTAGTGCAACCTCTATGTATTCTCCAGAGAAATTAAACAGATCTTCATGAAGGTCCTGCGAAACAGTAAGCAAATTTCATAGAAACATGGATCAAGAGTCTGAGATGGGAGGGGAACCTCCAAATATGGAAATTCCACAGTCTTTCTGGGAAGCTGTAAGAATCCCTCTTTGTTTTTTGGCTCAAAGCTTGCTTCCTGAGGTATTTCTTGTGATAAGACTCTGAGTGATTTGTTGAGAAGGCAACTAATGGGTGCTAACCATGTGACAATGGATATCGCTTTGGGAACATTTGAAAGCCCCTTCCTCCAGAGCTGCTTGCTCTGTAGAAGAGTGGATGAGAGTGCTCAGGAGTGTTTACTGGCGGAAGATCTGGCCTGTGACAAAACAGCTCCAGCTGGGTGTGGGAAAATTGGGGAATGATACCATCGTGTTCTGTGAGAAACAGGATGCAGATGGGCATCCCTGCTCCCGCTTATCTGCTGGCAAGGTCCAGAAGATGGGAACAAAGGAGTTTCTGCTGAGATCCCAGAGCCATAAGCTGCCACTCAAAGGAGAGCTGACTCAAGCACTTTGGATTTGAGCTGTCACTCCAAAGACAGCTGACTCAACCACTTTGAAAGCATTGAAAAGGGGCCATCATCGCCATGGTCGTCATCGTCCTTCGTCGTCAATAGAACAACAATGCCTGACAACCCACCACTACTGAAGATCAAAGACTGAACTAGGAACCTCGCTGGATCCATGGTGGTGACTATGTCCCTCTTGCTTCCTATAAAGACTCCTTGCTTCTTCTTTTCTATCTTCTCTATAAAGACTCCTTCCCTTCCCCATTACCCTAATTCATAATAAAATTGGAGCGAGACAGAAGCCTCTCCCAGTATTGCACTACTTCATGGTAATAAACAAAAGTACTTATTTAGAATTTTCCATATCCCAACTGTTCATCCTCTATTCAGTTTCTGCCAGCTTCAGCATCATTCACTTCTTGACATTGTCCTGATATTTCTGGGTTATCACTTGTAGTGAGGATGTTGTGTTTGCTCAGCTTGAACTTGTTTACTAGGAACTGAAGGAAAATTTCCATGGCTCTGGCTGCTCCTCTGTCTCTATCATGTTAAAGGTGAGGCCTTTGTGTTCCCAAATCCACATGGATAATCTGGACCCCCGGATAGCATTGGGAAGGCAGTCTAATGTCTCAAAGGAGAAAATAAAATGCTTTGCCAGCTACCTTTTTTCGTGACCCACTTGTAAAACATAATGCAAATTCAGCACTGCTGATGATAGTCACCCCGAGATAAGGACAGGTTTCCAGGGAAATGTCAAAGTATCTTGCAGCTCTTGAGCTATGCTAGTCACCGAGGTGACTAGTGAGTATGTGGGAGTGGACTTGTTTGCTGGCTGCCATTTAAAATGTAATGAGGAATAGAAACTACAAATTGGTAAGAAAGCATAATGAAAATTATCCATCTATCCATGTAATGCCATCAGTATTAACAGAGGTTAATTGATGCTGTTTCAGATTTATGACTGAGCTTATAGGACAGCACGTATACAGTGAGACAAAATAGTTTTAATTAATGTTTTTGAAGTAGATTCAGAAGAAATACTGGAACACCTTTAAATCCACTATGCCAAAAATACTTCCTCAGTTTTAGCCACAGAAATGAGATATAAACTTTAGGCCTCAGTGGTTAGTTCAGTATTGCCAAACTCCATGAATACTGATGTGTTTAGAAAGGCTGTTTTCCCCTTAAACTTCTCTTGACCTTTCAATATCTTTCTCCACCCAAATTCCACCTTCATCCAAAGCATACCTGTCACATCCAACTTGAGTGTTTTGGAAAGAAAACAGATCTGGAATTTCTGGGGGAACATGGGATGAACTATCTGGGAGATCAATGTCAGTAAAAAAGAAATTATATGAGTGTGGACTTTGCTGCTGAAAGCAATGGAAAGATGGAGCAAATCAGACCCTTTATACTACTTCTGAATTAGTTTGTTCTTCATTTTGTTATGCTGAATTAAATGAAAGTTTTTATCTATGATGTCTTAGTTTGTATAGCAACACAGCTACATAAAGGAATGTTTTTAGAAAAGAATCAAGTATTATAATTACATATGTTTACCCAATTATGATTTTGTCCTCATTTTTTCTTCATTTCTTTTTAATCCAGGAAGTGAACTATTGCACTAAGCAGCCTCAACATCTTACACCATTTAAAAACTGGACAAAAAGTGAGTCATCTGAGATTGAAATAGCTCTGAGATTCATTTGTAATTCATCAGACTTAAAAGAACTTAAACCCAAAATCTTATGTATGCAATACAGGAAGTGCAAAAAGAAAGTCTCATAAAAATAACACAGAAATAGAAATCTTAGAAAGTGAACAGACAGGCCTGAATCTTTATTCTGAAGCAGATATTTTCCTAGTCCATGTTCTGTAGAGAGGTGACTCCCTTTTTCACTGCTGTCAACCTCACTCTTTTTTAAAGGGAAAATAGGAATCTATTCCATAGACAGCATATGTAATATGTTTTGTAGCACAGATGTTATCTTCTCACAAGCTACCTCCTTACCAAGGTGTCTTCTTCTCCACTTTTTAATGTTGCTTGCACTCCATCCAGCATAAAGCAACAACAATCTGTAAATCAGCAGCTGAGAAAGCTCTTCCTTTTCTTCCTATTTAATCCAGGCATCTAGTGGTTTACATGCTGTTGAAGATACTGTAAAACAAGTTTGAGAAATATTTCTCACATTGCTCATACCAAACACATTCAGACACATTCAGATCCATTTTAATTGGAGAAATCTCTTAAGAAATGTCAAAGCCAGCCATGCAGATGGAATGAGTGACATGAAGTATGTGATGGAAAGCCAGCAGCCCTACTGAAGGATGCATTGCTTATGGAGCCCTCCATTTCTGATGGACAGTAAACCTACTTTTTTCCCACATTGATCTGGTTTATGACTGAAATTGTTTCTGACATTAAAAATTTTGTGGTTCATAACATTCATAGATTTCTAGAAGCAGAAGCATGATGCTATTCCTAGGAAAGTGAAATAGGAAGAGCTAGTGAGATGTTCAGACAGTCTCTTAGTCCATAATCTGGAAACAGTTCATGGAAATCAAACTGAACTTCAAAGTCAGACATCCTGGCAATCTTTGTCTGGAAGAATGCTGCAGACATGGCCTGGGAAAAGCTGAAGTTCAGTATGCAAAGGAGGGATATTTCAAACGAGAATAAAAGAGTGAAACACAATAGTACTTCAAGTGATTTTCTGTGTTCACTAATGTTTTTATTGTCACAATACAATTATCACAATACTGCAATGTCTTCACGTGTATTTTCCTAATCAAGAAATATTATGATATATAAGAGATTAAACAAAAACCAATACAAAAACAAGCAAACAAACAAATTATAACCCCAGCCTAATCTATGTTGTATTTGAAGAAGAGAGATACAACTCTTTATCAAAGATTTTCAGGAGTCAAACAGCCACAGACCTTTCATTTTGCCCCGCAGATATTTTTTCCTGGCCAAATGACAGAGCATTTGCCAGGAATCTACTAAATAGCAGAAATACTGTGTTAACTTCATGTCAGTGTGAATTACATCATTTGTTTTGTTCTCTTAACCGCCACTTACTTTTCAGTGAAAAATCACCAGAGAGCTGAGAAATTTATGTAGTATTGCCCAGAGATATGTTAGTTACCGGTTGGATTTACTGTTATGCTGAATGCATAATGAAATACATCATACCTGATTTTGAGAAGTACAAAACCCTGAGTGATAGGGCTGGGATATGACTGCAACAAACCAATTTGTGGGGATAATTTTTTTCTGGCAAAGAGGACGTTGTGGACATCTAGGACAAGTAGGCTGGTATTAAGCTGAGACTCCCCTCTCATTATAACTGAGGCATCACGAGGACCGTCCACACCAGAACTTCATAAACTTCACTAATATTTTTCTTCTTCATTGTGTCCTGAGGATGACATGGAGAAAGAACAGTATCATACAGCAGAGGAGCATAGCGAGTTATTCAGTATCAAGATAATAGTAACAAGATCTGGTGAATTAGTTCTCATGTATTAGAAAACAAATAAAAAGGCAATTTGGCTGTGGTGTGATTCTATGATATCTCCTTTTTGATGACAATACGCTGGCATCGAAACTGTGTACTTCAGCTTTGTTTTTCTCCTTAAGCAGCCTCTGCCTTTCTTGTTATTGAAATATGGGTTCCTATTTGTTATTGCATTGTATACAGCATCACTAAGTTTTCCAGTAGAATATGCAATTTGCTTTTCAGTTAATGACCTTTAAGGCTGTTGGCTACATTACATGCTGTTCTTAGCTGATACTGCACAGCTCTGGGAACAAAGACCTGTGCATTGGCACTGGCTGCTGGTTGCTTGAAATATGTCATTTTCCTTGTTTTCTTTCAAGCATATTATTACTTTCTCTGCCCCCTCACACAATCCTGGCTGCAATTTCTTCTTCTGTGTTCTTCAGCACTACTCACAATTGCTGTTGGATATATTTTTTTTCAAATTCTTTTCAATGTCCAAAGGATTAAGTGCATCTCCAACATGGATTGATCTTGGGGTGTTTTGGGGGTTTTTTTGAGCTGTTTATTTATCTTTTTTACTTTGTTTCACTTTTGTAGATAAATCTTCGCTAGTTGTTATAGAACAAGAAATACATTAGCTTTTGCTTTTTAGATTGGCAATTCTTCCATGACTTCTAACATCAACAGAGTAGCCTTCTCTCTAGAGTGCATGATTGAATGACTCAAAATAGAGCCATACAATCATTCACTCTAGGGAGGATTTCTCTAGAGAGAGAAGACTGCTTCGTGGTATGCAGACATGCAGTTCACAGTTATCAAACAAACCAATCAGCAGAAATCCAGAAAAGAAGAAAAACAACAACAGATTGAAAGAAGAAACCCTTCCCTGAGCAAAATATGAGCACACTAAACTTGTGACACTCATAACAGCTTTGCAATTGTTCTGTATTCATTACTTAGCATTCAAGTATGTGGAGAAGAGTGAGAAGTTCTGGTGAGAAACATTTTCTGAACTTTATCAAATTTTATCTTTATTTTTACCACAGAGGATCTGTATATGGTCCTTACTTCCACTTGAAGGTGACTCTACGTGAAAAACAATTTCATTATATTTATTAGTTACATGGTTAATTCAGAGATAGTTTTATAACACAGAGAGTGTTAATGATAGAGGGACTAATCTTCACCTGGTCTCATTTTACTTTTGAGACGAGGTATCCCAAGAATAAAGCATGATCAAAGTCAGCTTTTCTTCTGTACTTATATCCTGGTACATTTTCTCTAAAAGCTGATCTAATGCTTCTAGAAAGCCTGGTGCTAAACTCAGCATCTTAATAAGACAATAAAGGGCGTGTGGACAGATTGCTTTAAGGATTATGAGAAAAGAAAAAATAGGTTATACATATTTCATGATTGCCTTTTTTTGAGAGAGAGAGAGAGGAGAATTTAATACTTCAATAATAAATATATATAACCATAGCTACACATGATTTCTATTTAAGCATTCCTCTTATACAGTATGCTTTCTTTGGGAAAATAACGTAGGAAAAGGTCCTACTGTATTAGAATTTGACAAAATACCTCATGGCATCTTTTCATACATAAATGGAAGCACAAACTTTGACTCGTATTTCCATACGATGCTTGATTATTCCTCATCTGCTTTCAAATAGGTCAGGCATCAAAGGAAGATCTCTCAAAGGGAGATCTGATTGGCAAAATATCATTTAAATTTTTTCATGATAGCAAACAGATAGTATTGATCTGGGGTCCACAATGAAGAACAAACAAAGTCTCATGATATTTGCTTACGCAGTCATTTGTCACTGCAAAGCTGGACTTCAGCATGCTGTCCTGAATTAGCCCCACAATTTGCCAAGTACTTTTAAATGATATTCTGTACAATCGGTTTAGCTGTGTTACACTGAGATTAAGTCTGTATATATGCCCCGAGTTCTAGCCCAGCAGCTTTTACTAAATACTGAATAGATCAAAAACAGATGTCAGTAAGGAAGTTTTGTCACTAGTTTATGTGATTTTGGTGAGGGTTTTGAGTGTGAACATCAAGCAAGACTTGGATGACATACAGCTACAGTCTAGTAATACTGATAGTGGTAATTTAACACCAGAGACAAGTCAAAATCCCCCAAACAATCAGGACATTATTGTTTCAGAAATAGTCATTATTTTCATTGTATATTATTTCACATTTTAAGAGACTAAAGACTGCAAAGTTGCTATTTGTATTTATTTATTTATTTTTTTACTAATTTGAGATATGCTGTAGTGAAAAATCTAATAAGTATTTAACTGCTTTCAACAGCTTTGCATATTTTAATAAAATAACACACTAGCAATATACTAGACTCGTGAATCTTTTAAAGAAAAGGTACAAATTTCAAGTAACCATATGTTTTTATTCTATAGTATCAATCCACTGATAAAATCTAGTCTGATTTAAGAAATACTGCCTGAATTTGATGTGCATATCTATGATAGCTTTCTGAGTTCAAAACAGATTAACAGTCCCTAGAAAAGCTTTGCTGTTTTCTGTGAGAAGATAAAAATTTCTGTACCACAGCCTGACTTGTCTATCTGGAAAGTGCGATAATGAAATTGGAATCCGTAAGAGAAATGAGAAATGAAAGTGACAGCAAATCCATAAAAAAGAAACTGGTGCTATCACGTGGAATATTCCATCATTTATTTTATCTCAATACATTATCAATACCTCAGCAATGAAGAGCAACTTAATTGCTTAAAAGCTACATCATCCATGAAAGAGGCTACAGATCACTACATATACTGGAGAGCGTCTAGAAGGCACTATTACAGAACAGCTGAAAAGTGACTCATACTTTGTTAACAATACAAGTTACATACATTTGTAGACCAGAGGGGAAATCTGTGTCATTTGGGCAAGAAAAAGTAGTTCTTGCTTTTCAGGGGTTAGAAACGTGTTGAAAGTTGAAAGACACCAGTACACGTTGGTGTACACAAAGTTATTACTGGATCACAGGATCTTAGGTAGCTATGTGCAGAAGTACCTGTCCTCTGGGCAATCAGTTATTTTTTCAGAGGATTTACAATTTTCCCAATGAAGAGGATGGTATGAGCATATTTATCCACAATCATCAGGAGAAAGGGCCTGTTGAATCTGACTCGAGGAGGACGAGAAAAATCACCAGATCTCCATGTAATCTCCTTCACTGTGACTCCTGCTGCTTCAGTGCCATTCTCATGAACATTTAGCACAGCTCTGTGGATCACCTGCGAGGATATAAAGCACAACAACCTGCAGAGGGAGACCTGCCTGGGATGGGATCTGGCAGCAGCAACCTGAGGAAGTTCATCTCCAGCTCTTCCCTGCCCACTCAATCAACAATCACATCAGCCCTGAAAGCCTCCATCAACCAAGTGTGCAGAGAGAAATCTCTGTGCAGCAGATGGCCAAAGAGCACTCAAGATGACTGATGATGAGAAGTTCTGGAAGTAAAGAAAGCTGGCAATTTAGCCTGGACTAAGTTTTACATTTGGCAGCTTCACGTGTTATCAGAAATCTACCCTATCATCCAGCTGAAAAAACACTTTTTTTTTAGAGCACTAGAAGGGCAAGAGTAATTGCATTTTTGCCCTCTATTAGAGGGTATTTTACCAAAATTAATGTGCTATCTATAGATAATTTTGTTTAGTATCCAAAAAAACATCTAATGATATGTATGTCCTCCTTGTTCTTGATCCATGTGTTTGTAACCCCTTATCTGCGTGTTTGACTTCAGTTTTAGGAAAGGTATGTTTGTCTTTGTGGCAGATGCTTATGATTAAATCTTGCTTCAGAAAGACTGGGATAAGCTTTTCATTTTTTGTTTGTAATGGATTCCCAGAAATAGAAAAATTCTGTGATCACTATATTTCATGTGCTGACTTACTTTCGAAACCATCAGTCCAGGATCCTCTGTAATTCCTGACAGATCAGCTTGTTCAGTGAATACATCAATTATACCCACTTCTCTGACTATCTTTTTCACATCGTAGGTACCAGAAATAGAAAGTTTTGGAATATGTAGGTGTATTTTTCTGAAACAAATAACATCAAAAGGGACAAATTGTCATCTAGGTAATGTTCCTGAGTGGCTTCGCTTCAGTGACAATTCATTCATATTTTTTCTTAAATGACAAAAGTCTGCTGTTAGGTTTCAAATAGCCCTTTCTACCAGTATAGTTATGTAATGCAGAGGATTGGAGCAGTGTAAGTCCATGTTAAACTCTATATCCACAGTAGGTTTAAAGGATTCAGAGAAGACATAACTGTATATAAACTCTGCTACCAACAGAGCTTCACTAGGCAGTAGACATCCTATAAGATCATGACTTGTTCTAAGGCTGTTTGAACATAAAACAGCACAGAAACAGCACCTGTGCCAGCACAGAAACAGCTTGAGTATTAGTAAATTAATAAAATTCATCTTTCACACACAGCACTGCAGATCCCACCAGGCCCTCACCACTCTAATACCCAATACCTCAGAAATAGCTACTCCATTTAAGTTTCACAATGCCCATACAAAACAAGCCTCTGTTAACTTCATCACCACAATGCTGAGGATAAAAAGATCAATGCCCTGTTTGTTCACTATCCAGATGTATTTTTTGTTTTTGAGCTAAGAAAGGGGAAGTCCTGCGCAGAGACTGTAAGTGAACAGAGTTCAGTAAAATAATTCAGCTTTTCAAGCTCAATCTTGCTTACTGCTAAATAATGCAGTGATCTCTCACACTAGGAAAAATCTCTTACCTATCTTGGAGGAGCTTTTCCCATTTTGCCACAGTTCTTTTCAAAAGAGCATCTTCCACCTGTTTCATCTTCCCTTCATCAGGTAAAACAAACAATGCTGCAGCATTTCCATTGTAAGGAATCTGAACCAGCCAACAGGACAGCTCTTCATCAAAGTAATTTCTGTAGTAACCTTTCCGATACATCATGTCAACTTTCACAGATGTTTTCTTATCCACAAAAAAATCATCTTTTTTTGTGTATGAATCACTGAAGGGTTTCTGCCAATGAGCTTATGACAAAAAGAGAAAAATAATTCAGTGGAATAAAAAGACAAATTTTCATTACGAATAAAATGGAATCTAGTCCCACTCTTTCCCTTTGATTAGAGCAAACATTTTTTTTTTCCATATTACTTCACCCCTAGGTGTTTAATTACTTCCTACATGCCTGAAGACAGTTACAGAGAAATGATACTACAAACAACATCTTTCACTAATTCATGATTCTATCATCACATTAAATAATTTACCAAGTACAACAAAGGTATTTTCTAAAAGCAATCCAATCTCTTACTCAAACAAGTAAGGTCACAGACATCCTCACTGTTAACACACGTACATGATTTCACTGGAAAAATTTTTAGATACCGAACGTTTTCCTCAAAACAAATACTCAAATTACAGTTTCTTTCTTTTATTCTCTGCAATAAGCAGTGCGTCCAAGTTACAATCTTTGTACCCTTCAGTAATTCTTACCTTTAAAGAAGACATAGTTAACAAGAACCATTGCGGTGAGAGGATCAAGATTTTCTACTAGTTTAACAATTTTCTTATTTGTCTTTTCTTCAATATAACTGTTGATCTGGATCTCAGCACTAGAGGAGTTGTTAAAGTCAGCAGAAAGGACTTCAGACTGGTAAAAGCTTTTGGCATCCTCCAAGAACTTCTGTAGTGGTTTCAGTGTCTCTTCTATAAAAAGGACATTGCCCAGGCTTAGATGAAGATCACTATCTGAACGGTTCAGCATATGGAGGAGCTGGCAAAAACCTTCATGTATTTCTTGATCCTGAGTCTTTTTCAGGTTAAAGGCAAGCCCTTCCAGAATCTGTGTTAGTGTTGCTGACTTGGCACCCAGTGCCAGCATTGCAAGGGAAGCAGAAATGCTTATGGGTGAAAAGAAAATATTTTGATCAGTTGCTTCGGATGCAACCAGCTTGTAAAATGAAAATGCAAAATCAGCATTGCTGTGAACTACTTTGACAAAAGTTTTGTTTTTATTTGGAAAAACTCCTTCCCCGTGAGAACTGCTACCTGGGTAATGTGCTCCTTTAGAATCGTCCTGTTTATTGAGGTAGCGAGGATGCTGATGACATTGGACAACAGAATACAAACCAGCCAGCAGAAAACACAAGGAGAAGGTGGGTTTCATTTTCCTTTTACCCCTTCCTGGAAAAGAAATAAATACACCAAACATGACAGGGAAGTAAATTTCTTCATGCTTGCATGTTTCATACAACTAAAATGAAGCTCTCAAAGTACAACTGTCTGTTCTCAAAAACCCCGCCCTTTTGTTTCACATTCCTCATGCAGCAAACCCCTGAATGAATGTCTCCAGATGAACTGTGCATAACCACATACTCTCACAAAAGGAACAGTTTTGATCATAATAACCAGTGAAATAGATATATATAGAAGTGGGGTTTTTTTTGTTTGTCATTGTTTTTAAATCACTAATAACACAAAAAAACACAAAGAAAGTTTATGACCTTTTTCTCCAGAGAAAAGAGATGGGAGCCATTTTTATACCTGATAGTGCTGTTACTGCAGCTCTAATAGTCTTTCTCTCTTACTCAGAGAAATAGATAATGAAATGTGTTAAACTAAAATGTGATGTAAACACATATCGTACAGTTTAAGGCACAAAGTACAAGATAAGCCATTTTCTCAAAGATAAAATATTGAATCACTGTAGCAGCAAAGTCTCTATATGGATCTTTGCTGATTCCAAAGCATTTTTTTATTGGATGAAGTATTTTCTGTGCTAGTAGGCAGTTCATGCTTGTCCTTAACATATTTTGAATTTTTTTATAACAAATTGTTGTGTATACATTCCTTGTGTGTGGAAACACTTCCTTCCCAGGCAACAACACAAACCCCTGAGCTGATATATCCAAATGATCCAAGAAAATATTGAAGGAATACTCACAGTGCTACAAGAGGACCCTGCTGCATTCACTTTGTCTGCTCCAGTGTTCTCTTCATTGAACAAGATTCACCAGAGCACCTCCGTTAATCATTAATGACTTCAAATAAAAAAATATCAGTGAAGATACACAGCAAGCAGTAATGATGTTTTGAACATTTTGTCCAATCCAAGCATAATATTGTCAAATATTAGCTCTGATGAGAGGGACGATATCTTGTGGTGCTACCATGTTTGTGGGTTCTTGTAAGATGCTTGCTGTGTGGGTCTATAGAGAGAGCTGGGCCTCTCATGGCTGCATCCAAGGGTGGTGAATCCCCATGAAGACTGCCTAGAGCCTAGGCATGGTACAAATGGCAAGAAGAACTCAGCACAGCTCCATAAGAGCACAGCCTCCCTGTCTTTCATCCTCCCAGGTCCAGTCTTGGGAAGATAAAAAAATTAAAAAAAAAAAAAGAAAAAAAGGGGGGCAAGGCTGCTGACTGGGATACAATCTCTCTGTCAGTGTTCCCAAACAGGGTAAGCTGCCTTTAGATCTGTAAAACCCTTCTACCTTACAGTGCTCCTTTTTAACATAACATTTACTACAGGGGGTTTCTTAAAGGGACCAGATTGTGTGCAATTAGTAACGATCTTTAGATTCTTTAGTAACAGCAACAGACATGTGGCATGACTACTCTAATGAAACATTTCTAGCAGGTGCAGCTGCTTACCTGTTGCTGATGACCGTAGCCTGTGACTGGGTAACAGTGAAGTGGTGGTGTGGAAGAGTTTTCCTCCTGGTTTTTAGAGGAAAACAAAACCACAAATAACCCACCAGAAGAAGAAAAAAAAAAAAAAAAAAAAACACAGAAAAAGCATAAAAAGAATAGTGTGGAAGAGAAAAGGTGCTTGGTGGAAAGCTTTCTTTATCAGCACTGCTGTGTGAAAGACATGAGCTGTAACTCCAGAAAAGCTGCTGGTGCCTGGCCAGCTGCCCAGCAAATCAAGGCTAATTTGTTCAGATCAACAGTAGGCAACTGATAGTTCCACCCTGGGAACACAGGCTTGTTTAAAGGAGCACTTGAATAGGTACTGGACACAACTGTACATAGATCATGTGCTCAATAATGGTGATGCCTCCCAAAACACATTCAAGTTCCCTATGTTTCAATGTGTGGCAGCTAACACAGTGGGAAAGCACACGTGGTACATCCTGGTAAGCATTGGAGAAGGCAGGGAAGAGGAAAGAATGGGCAAATACGGGTACAGAATAGAAGCATAGTAACCATTACTATGTTTACTATGTAACTGGTACATCCAGTCTCAGAAATGAGACAAGAGTTCAGGACTTCAGAGTATCTCTATAGCCCTGTCATTTTATAGATGGCAAAATGTGTGCCTATTCCACTTGCCATCATTATTACATCAAGGCTAGGCAGTATTAATTCTGGTATTCCCTAAAACCCAAAAGTTTGGCCTTGTAACCCTTGTAACACTTTGCTAACATCCTTTGGTATATAGCAGACAATACTATACCCTCAGTCTCTCATTGTTACTAGAACATCACACTTGCAACAAATTGCTGTAGTACATCTTAACTTTAAAATAAAGATACATGTATCTATAGTCTCTATCGAGAATCAAAGCTCTTGCTATGTTGTGTGTTACTCTTTATTATTTTCTTCACTCAATAATCAAATAGATTATTTTTCAGCCCCAGAGACTGTGGAAGCTGTGTCTGATTCAAGCTTCTTTCTGATTGTATAATCAATGGATATCAAGATGTTACAATCACAAAATAAACAAGAGAGTTAGGCAAAGTGGACTATGATAACGAGAGAGAATAAACAGGAGGCTTACCCTCATGCTGAGCTCACCACAGAACACCAGAAGGAGGGATCTCCAGACAAGATCCTTCCCCACTGGTAGCCAGCTCTTAAATAGGTCTAGGAGGGTCTTCCGGCAGCACAGGTGAATTGCCTTCACCTGTGCTCCTCTGGCTGACTCATGGCTCGCCTCAGGTGATCAATCAGAGGTTCCGGCTGTGACTCGGTAGTTCCCATACACTGATACTAACTAGAAACATATAAAGTAAAAAAGAGTATGCTGCTTACAGTAGCAAAAACACATTTATTATGGTTTATAGTCACTGTGGGATTAAGAGAGAGCATTTCAGTGATGCCAAGCTGCCTAGCAAGTAGCTAAGCTGTCCAGTGAGAGAACTTCATTTTCCAGGTTTCACTATGCCAAAAAACGAGATGTATAAAAAATAATGCATATAATTCCTTCTTAATTTCCCAAGATAGACAAGATTTATTCTTTTCTGTTATCTGGTATGTGTTTTTTGTTGTTGTTGTTGGTTGTTTTTCTGTTTTGTTTTTACTTTTATAGCTCTACACTTTATTTCCCTTTGTTATCTATTTTTCTACCTTGTCAAATATTAAAGTGAGAGAGGAAAAATAAAGCTAAATAAAATTTCAATGTGCTAAAAAAACAGAGCACACATCCTCAGTAACTGAACATGAGCCAGCAGTGCGCTCTGGCAGCTCGAAAGGCAAATGGGATCCTGGGCTCCATCAGGAGAGGGGTGGTCAGCAGGGAGAGGGAGGTGATTGTCCCTCTCTACTCGGCTCTTGTGAGGCCCCATCTGGAGTACTGTGTCCAGGTGTGGAGCCCTCAGTACAAGAAAGACGTAGAGATCTTGGAAAGGGTCCAGAGGAGGGCGACTAAGATGATCAGGGGGCTGGAGCACCTCCCCTATGAGGACAGGCTGAGGGAGTTGGGCTTGTTCAGCCTGGAGAAGAGAAGGCTGCGGGGTGACCTCATTGCAGCCTATCAATACCTGAAGGGAACCTACACCCAGGAGGGGAGTAAACTCTTCAGAAGGGCTGACAACAGCAGGACTAGGGGAAATGGATCCAAGTTGAAGGAGGAAAGATTTAGGTTGGATGTTAGGGGGAAGTTCTTCACAAGGAGAGTAGTTAGGCCCTGGAACGGGCTGCCCAGGGAGGTTGTGGATGCCCCGTCCTTGGACGTGTTCAAGGCCAGGTTGGACGGGGTCCTGGGCAACCTGATCTGAATGTGTATGTTTGGTGGCCCTGCTAGGCAGGGGGGTTGGAACTACATGATCCTTGAGGTCCCTTCCAACCCGGGTGATTCTGTGATTCTGTGATTCTGTGATAACGTTAATCTCAAGGTTTTCTGTACTTATCACTCCTATATAGTTTCTTAGAATGGCACTAACTTGTCCTGTTGACAGTTGGTTCTCCTAAATGATGAACATTAAAATGATGATATAACCACAAACCTGGGCGTTGGGAAACAGATTTCTCTCCAAGAAGTCTCCAAGCATGCTGCTGAGGAAACAAATGTCCAAGGAATTGTTTTTAAATATGCTGCTTGATTGTGTAAGATGTGAGCTACTAATTTTAGTCGTGTGAGTAGTATGAGAGCAGTTCCACTGTGGATAATCATTATTGTGTTAAATCTGAACTAATGACAACAATTAATGTGTTGTGATTTGAATTAAACAAAATCTGAAGAAATTGTGTCTAGTTACAAGCTTTTATTAATGTAACAATCACTACAGAAGCACTTTCCTTGAGTGCTTGAAAAACTGTATATTTCCTGGATTTTATATGAGGAAATTTCCACTTTCTAAACCATTTTTTTTTTTTTTTTTTTTACTAAAACTTAGAAAGTTTTGCTCAAGTTCAGCAAAAAGAATTCTCATCATCAGAATGGAATGTATCATTAGAAGTGATAATTTTAAATTTTAGGTAGCAGCAGACTCCTCCCATCAAGCTGTGAAAAAGTAGAAACACCTGTCTTTGCCTCATCTTATAGTATTATGATAGATTAGAATCCAGCTCCTCATTTGAGGCAAATTATCCTGTCATTATCATTAGCCCCTAAACTGCCCCAAATAAATTAATGACATTAAAAATCTGAGTTTATCCCTCTGTTCTGTTCTAATGCAGGTTAAAAGCATGTTGTCAACATACAGTACTTCATACTGTCAGTAACTGTCATAATACAAATGTTTATTTACTTTGCCCCCCAAATAGCATTGGGTCTCTCAGCCACGTGCATATTGCTACCTGCTGCCAGCAAAACTTACAGCAGCAAGAGTCTTGCCTGCCACCCCCACAGCAGGAGCAAAATCGCATTTCGCCAATTTTCAAATAGTAGCATAATGATTTTTCAATCTCCTACCTCTCAAGAAAGCTGTACTGAAATTTGGCAATAAATTGCATTGTTATGGAGGGTAGCTAAGAGAAGGTGGGTGACTACAAACACGAAAATTTGAGGCTGTTACCTTTGGAAACCAAGCTTGTTCTTTAGTTTTCTTTCTGTTTGAGATAATGGCAGTAAAATTGTCTCAGTTTTCACAGCTCATGTGATTCTGTTTTTCACTAGTTATCATTAATATTTTCAGCATCTTTACATTTACTTATGAAAAATTTATTGTATATTATCTTTCCATTATGATATTTCTCCATTTTTATCATAATTTGCTTTATTTATATGTGCTCTCCAGAAAGCACTTATTTTAGTTCAGTTTCTGTTGAATTAGCTGAGATACACCACGGAAGAAGTGAATTTTAGAAATCAATTCCTAAAAGCCTAACACTCCTGAATCTCATATATACTTTATCTGCGTAATAAAAAAAGTTATTGAAGAACTGCAATAAAATTGGTTTGAGAAAATATTTGGTTGGCAAATTGAGCAAGGTTAAGTTAAAACATGTTAAATAATACACCTTTAATTAGATAAATCATGATTGGAAATTCTTATTATCTTGAATCCGCCTTGGAAAAACAGACTGGATATACTTCCATATATAATTAATCCAGAACAGATCAGCCCAGGAGTCCTTTAAATGTAATTGTTTGTAAGACAGTTTAAACTGACTCCTGTAGAACCACTTTGCAAAGGTTTTTTGAGTGTGAACAGTCCATTACGGAACTGGAAAGTGATGAAATTATGCATCTTTGAATGATTGCTCATTGTAAGTTTTGGACTGAAATTCATTTGCTTCCAAAGAAGAGGAGTTGACCTAAGTTTTGCAGAACCACAGAATCACAGAATCGTAGGGGTTGGAAGGGACCTCCAGAGATCATTGAGTCCAACT